TCTCCTGCCTCAGCCTCCCAAGTAGCTGGGACCACAGGCACCCGCCACAATGCCTGGCTATTTTTTGGTTGCAGCTGTCATTGTTGTTTGGCGGGTCCGGGCTGGATTCCAACCCGCCACCTTAGGTGTATATGGCTGGTGCCTTAGCCACTTGAGCCACAGGCGCCAAGCCATTATTAAGCAATTCTTACGTTTTCTATAGTCACCCTCCATCATCCACTATCTAAAAATAAAAACCTGCTCTGCTGTGAAGCACAACTAGGGCTAACTGGACAATAAACAGAAGTGTGAGCAGATGTAACCTCTACATTTTCTACTATTCAGTAACAAGTACACAAGTATTAACCTTAAATAATCTATGATTTGTTTTATCCAGTTATGTTATTTTAGCTTAAATGCTTAACTGTCATTAAGGCAGGATAAGACTTTAGAGATTGTAAGTATGGTGAGGCACTTCAAGGACTTTTTTCCTCCTTTACCATTCTGATTTTAAGTAGTCAATTCTAGAAAAGTTAAGAGCTAAACGTCCCTTCTAGAGGAAAACTTAATTTTTTTTCTTAGAAACTCCATTCATATCAGAAACTACCAGAAAATTTTTCACTTTGCAATTTATGCTTTTGTTAGTGGGCAAATTTAGAAGACAAATTTCCATTTAGTGGAGAAATTTACATTTCTTTAAATCACAACAGGTGTCTCTTAGCTACTAGAATTGCTAGAATGAGACTCAAGTGTCTGTGGGACCTTTTAAATTAACTTATATTAACCTTTTAAAACAGTGATTTTTCTAGAAAATATAAGACACACTTACCACAATTTGCTCTTCAGATGCAGTGGAAACACTACTGTCATCAAAATAGTACCATTTTCCATCATCTTTATTTTTTGCAAAAGCAGTATCTAATGAAAAAACACAGTAATTTTTATGACTAAAATGATCTTGTTTCCTGGGGAACCCTTATCATCTCTATATAAGGAATATCTATTATTAACAAAATTACATGACAATCATCTATTAAAACCTATTTATTACACATTAAACTGATGCAACTGATTAAAGACTTTCAAATGCCTAAAATACTTTTCATAAGTGGAAACACTTTTTTTTTCTTTAAATTGAGACAGTCTCACTTTTGTCACCCTTCGTAGAGTGCCGTGGCATCAGCTCACAGCAACCTCTAACTCTGGGGCTCAAGTGATTCTCTTGCCTCAGCCTCCCTAGTAGCTGGGACTACAGGTGCCCCGCCACAATGCCCGATGATGATGATGATGATTTTTTGTTTAGCAGGCCTGGCCAGTATTCTAACCCATCAGCTCCAGAGCCTGTGGCCAGTGCCCTAACCACTGAGTTACGGATGCCCAGCCAGTTAAAACACTTTTAATCCCAGGAAAAAGCAGATTTATTATTATTTTAAATAATTTTATTATTAATTACTATTATTATAATTTTGTTTTTAATTTTGTCACCCTTGGTAGAGTGCTATAGCATCACAGCTCACAGCAACCTCAAACTCTTGGGCTTAAGTGATTCTCTTGCCTCAGGCTCCCAAGTAGCTGGGACTACAGGTGCCTGCCATGATGCCAAGCTATTTTTTTGTTGCAGTTTGGCTGGGGGCTGGGTTTGAACCCGTCACCCTTGATGGGGCCGGTGCCATACACACTGAGCCACAGGCACCACCCAATTTATTATTTTTAATTTACAGAGTAAGGACACAGACAATATGGTAATTACAATAATTACATATAGTAATTCACATTCATGCAGTGCTATGTGCTTCACACTTATCATCTCATGAAAAGGTGTTAGCATTATTATTCTTCTAACTTCACAGATAGGAAACTGAAGCATCACAAAAAAGTTAATTTGCTCAAGGTAGTATAGCTGTTAGGTAGCAGAGCATGGTTTTAAACTCAGGTCTGTCTTTGACTTCAAAGTTTAAAATTTCAACTATTATTTAAATTTTCAATGATAATTTCTTTTCTAAAAATACTACTCATTAATTTGTAGTGGTTTTTATACCAGAAATCTCTTTCAGTCTTTATTTTTTCATTTATTTTTGAGAAAGGATCTTGCTGTCACCCAGGCTGGAGTGCAGTGGCCTGACCATAGTCCACCATAACCCTGAACTCCTGGGCTCAAGTGACCCTCTTGCCTCAGCCTGTCAAGTAGCTGGGACTATAGGCACTTGCTACAGCACTCAGCTAATTTTCTGTAGATACAGAGTCTTTCTTTGTTGTCCTGGCTGGTTCTGTCTGGGCCTCCCTAAGTGCTAGGCTGTGAGCTACTTCCCTGCCCCAGTCTTTAACAAAAATAAAGTTAGTCCACTGTATCTGTGGGTTCCATATCTCTGGATTCTGGGGATCAAAAATATTCACGCAAAAAAAAATTCCATGAAGTTCCAAAAAGCAAAACTTGAGCCTGCCATCCTAATACCACATTGAATCCATGTGTATGAAGTCATGTGTAGGCACTGTGCTATGTATTAGGCATTATAAGTGATCTGTAATGATTTAAAGTATATGGGAGGATATGGGTGGGTTTTATGAGAATACTACACCGTTTTATATAAGGCACTTGAGCATCTGTGGATTTTGATATCTATGGGGGGGGGTGTCCTGGAATTAATCCCCCACTGATACCAAGATACTCAAGGAATGAATGAATGTACAGAGCAAGAAAAAGGTAAAACATGATTAATCTCCACAACTTTTACAGATCTGCTTTGTTATAAAAAACAAACAAACAAACAAAAAAACCCCCCAAAAAAACCCCTCGGCGCCTGTGGCTTAAGCAGCTAAGGCGCCAGCCACATACACCTAAGGTGGCAGGTTCAAATCCAGCCTTGGCCCGCTAAACAACAATGATGGCTGCAACCAAGAAATAGCCGGGCGTTGTGGCGGGCGCCTGTAGTCCCAGCTACTTGGGAGGTGGAGGCAGGAGACTCGCTTGAGCCCAGGAGTTGGAGGTTGCTGTGAACGTGATGCCATGGCACTCCTCTACCCAGGGGGACAGCTTGAGGCTCTGTCTCAAGGAAAAAAAAAAAAGCCCCTGTTCCCATTCCCTACTTTGTGTGAACTACCCAATAACTGAAAATACAAAGTTGCAAAATGTTTCCATTACAATGATCTGCAGTCATACCTTCTAAAAAGTGACCCTTCATAGGGTATGGGGCATAGATTCTAAATAATTCCACTCATTATAAAACTCAAATTCTTCTCAAATAAGTTATTGGGGTATTGTCCTTGATATGGTTGGAATCAAAGGGCAACATTCTCTACTAATCTATCTGTTTGGATGATATTCAGAAGGGAAGGAAATGAAATTACTTTGAAAGTAAGGTAAACATGTATTTAAGAGTTAGCCTTCCTAACTGGTAGCCAAAAAACAGTTTAGAAGACAAACAAACCAATCAGCCAACCCACAGCAAACAATAATAATATTAATTAGTGGTTTAAAATCTAAGTTGTTTACTTAATAACTTTATTGAAAATCTACCATGTGGAAGTAACGTATCATATTCTACCTACTGTTGGTTCCAACTCCCCGAAAATCAACCATACAGAAAAACCAGAGAAGTAAAGGAAATCTAGGGTCAATGGAACCAACAAAAAATTGAGAACCCTGTTCAGAAGACAAACGGCACGTGAGTGTGAACTCATGTGGGTGGGTGGGTGTGTGCAGGTGGCAGAGGAGGCGATAGAGTGGCTGGAGACAGGAATGAGAAAATAGAAAAAAGGTTTTAGTTTTACTCCTGGGACAATCACTGCCTGGTTCTTTGGCAATACTCAGCTTACTTGAGTCAGTCATATTCTTGTTGCAGAGTCCTGGTAGGCTAACAAAATATTTGCCCACTAGTATGATTAAATCCCATGCATTCTGGCTAACCACCAGTCTTGGTGAGGAGTTAAAAAAATAGCAATGGGCTGAACACATTCCTGTGAGCATCATTCTCCCCTGTGAGCCAATTTCTCCCCGTCCAGTTACCTAGGGCTTCTCTTCTAAGCTGCTGTGTGATGTGCTGTTTATGGCCCTGTATCCTTTCTTAAGTCTGAATAAGTTGGTGCTGGGTGAAATCTGTAGTGTGCTGTGAGTCTGTCACTACAGAACAGATGCTGTACTTAGAAAGTAAAAGAAACACATTCTCGGACTGAATAAAAAAAACCATGTCATCTTTAAGAGATAAATCCTACAATATGGCCCAGAGAGTTTGTAAATTATCAAAAAGTTAGTCAATACTTGTAATATCTGAGAAGAAGACAAAAGGCACAAAGCAGAATATCAAATCATGGTAAAAGGAACAACACAGTAAGAAAAGCTACCTATTATAAACATAAATATTACTAAGAATGCAAAATGACAACTAATAAAACTGTTGGAAGAAGTAGATAAATCAACACTTAGGTAGGAGTCCTGACAAATTACTTTCAGGGCCAGAATGAACCTAAGAAACAAAACCCAGAGACTAATGGTTTGAATACAATTGATCAGCTTAAACTATCAGATATGTAGAATTCTGTATTTGAATGAGGAATATAGACTTTCCCCAAGCATTTAAGAAATAGGCCATGCATGTATTAAGCCATCTTGCACAGCTTCAAACTTCTGAAGATTAATATAGACAATGCCAATTGTTATGTAATAAAATTAAAAACAAAATGACAGCTGAAAAAAACTCCATATATCTAGAAACTAAGTGTATGATTAAATAACTCTGGGTTAATTAGGAAATCATAAAGGAAATTTAAAAATAGAATTGAAAGATAATGAAAATGATGTATTTCAAAATTCACAGGATAGAGCTAAAGTTGTACTTAGCATTTAGTAATTTACAGCCTTTAATTAAAGCATTCAATATAAGAAAAATAATGGAAAACAAAAAGCTAAGCATTCAACCCAAGAAGCTGGAAAGAGTGACATGGCAAATCCAAAGTAATAGTAAGAAAAATGCAACGAAGGGAAGGAAAGAAACTGACAAGACAGAATAAATACACACAATGAAAAAAGAAAATTTAATAAAATACAAAGCTAATTCTTTAAACAGACTAAAAATATGCTTCTAGAAGACCAATTTTAAAAAAAAAGAATGAGAAAAGGACAAAAAAAAATAGCACATGAGTATTATAAAATACTATTCTCAAATAAATTGGGAACCCTAAATAAAATGGATATATTTTTAGAAAAACAGAAAATGTTAAAATATACACAAAAGGAAAAAGAAAACTGAATAGACCAATAGGATGACATAAATAGAAAAACTTATGTTTGTGAAGCCAGTGGTGGCTTTGTAGGTGAATTATACTATACTTTCATGAATGGCTAATTCTTATACTAGTTCTCAGCTTGTTCTATGTAATCTTGATCCCAAGTAAGATAACAATACAAAAAAATTACTTAACCATTTCACTCATGAATGAAATTGTAACAACCCTAAATAAAATTAATTTAACCAAACCTACTATGTGTCAAAAATTACATAAAGGTAAGTAGGATATATCCCAGGAATGCAAAGACGGTTCAACAGATGTCTCCCCATCGGCAGAGTGTTAAGAGTCATCTTGGAGAGCAACTAGCAATCCATAAGCACTCACTCAGACCCTGCAATCTCCCTTCTGGGTGTGCAGCTCAAAGTAATGCACAGGAGACCATAGGCAAGGGTGCGTCTCAATATGACTGCAGTAGAAAGTTAAAGGCAATTTAAATGTCCATCCTGAGGTAAGTGGAGACATAGATATGGCAGATGTAATCCCAAGTGGTGAGAAGCAGCAAACTAAGCGGATTCAAAGGAGCAGGAGTGAGTCTTAAGAAAAAACATTAAGAGAAAAAAAAGCACGATCTATTGAGATCTACAGCACAGTACCAATTATATAATGAACAAACACACATGATTATAAGGATACATGTGTCAGACACATTGGAGAGGGAAGGGGAATGGAGATGCAGAGGAGCCCTAAATGAACCAAGGATGTTTCTTCCTGTGCTCTGAATTGAGGAATATGATTAATTCAATCCTCTATACCTGACGTTAAAAAAGAAGGTTCAAAAGCTGATTCCTTCATAAATCAATATTAAACTACTACTTGCAAGGCACATCACATTTTACTTTTAAATAGTAGTAACTATCTTAAGGAAGAAAGGCTGTAGTTATTCAAACATCATGATAGGGCTAAAAGGTAAATTATCAACTTACAATGTCCTCCTCCCATCCCTCCATAGTGGTTGGAAACAGCGATCAAATTATAGCGGCAAGGACCTGCATTTGGATTAATTAAGAATTCCGACATATCCAAGTCACTGTTTAAAAAATAAAGCAATTAATTTTATATTTTCCTTAAATGCAATGAATTCTATTCCCATCTGCCATTGTTGTTATATATACATGTACATGTATGCATATATCCCATGAAAGAAATTATCAAGAACCAAATAATTCTATTTCAAAAAATTTTTAATTCATTATTATGGGTACATAATAATTATGAGCCAGATAAGTCTTATGAAACAAATCATACATGTACTCCTGAAATTTGAATGTTTTGCCAAAAATTTGCCCAGAGCTATGAATTAAAAAATGCCCTACTGAAAGTTGTTACTCTGATTAATTCTTTTGTGCTAATACATTTGACTCTTAGTGTATCAGGAAAAAAAGACATCACCATCTACCATCTGGGTCCAATGGTTACATTTTAATTTTAAGTCACTTTATGGAATGATTTATATGAAGAAAAATAAAGAAACCATAACAACCTTATTAAAAATTAAAAAATTTTAAATAAACCAAACTCGACTTTTTATTCTCCATTTCCCTGGTTTTGATGACCTATTATGCCCAAGGTGGCCAATACTGCTTCATTCTGAATGAAACTATTCAGAATCCATCATGCGTGAACCTAGAAACTATCTTGTAAACTGATTATTATTTCTAGTTCTGCTTGTGCCTATATTATTAAAGAACAATGAGTCTAAACTTTAAATATATCTCGATAAATACTGTATTGTCCTTACTTCTGATTCCTTTGCTTGCCTTGTATCAAATGTCATATTCTCTCTCTTTTTTTTTTTTTTGAGACAGAGCCTCAAGCTGTCCCTTTGGGTAGAATGCTGTGGCATCACAGCTCACAGCAACCTTCAACTCCTGGGCTCAAGCGAGTCTCCTGCCTCCGCCTCCCAAGTAGCTGGGACCACAGGTGCCCGCCACAACGCCCAGCTATTTTTTGGTTGCAGCCGTCATTGTTGTTTGGCGGGTCCGGGCTGGGGATTCGAACCCGCCAGCTCAGGTGTATGTGTCTGGCACCTTAGCCGCTTGAGCCACAGGCGTGGAACCCAAATGTCATATTCTTGAAAACTTTTAATGGGTCACAATTTTGTTAAAAAGTATTTGACCTTTTATGGTTTTACTCAATTGCAAACCATTTTACATTTATAAACATGGATTAGAATGAGCAATCCAACGAGTATTTTCAATTTTCTATTATTTCCTTCTAGTCACTTCTTTGCCTTCAACATCTGTCCACTTAGAAACTGTATCATGCAAAGTTTTGCAACATGAGATAGTACTGAGTTCTTGTTGCAAAATGATTACATGACAAAGTTCTTCCTGTTGAAAAAAGTCAGTGAGAATACAACGTTCCCTTTTTGTCTTTCTGAATTCTTGTCTTTAGTGAAAATTAAAAAAAAAATTTTTTTCCCCAAGACTTCTTTATGTCTTTTTACAAATATGATGTCATACAATGGCAATGAGAAATCTGAAGGATGATTTATTACACTACTTTATCATCCTTCAAAGCAATTCCATTATTCTGTCTTATGTGAGTCTTTTAAAAAAGAATATATTTAAGAATAATTTTAAGAGTAATGATGAAATAATTCCTGGGAAAAACAAAACCACTAAGTCCCATAAAATATCTTAGGTTTACAAACAGGACCAAGAACATACAAAGAAATTTAACACAGAAGGACTTCAATTTTTTAAAGTGTATTTTCTGTTTGGTTTTTGGAAAATCTCAAAGAGAAAATGAAAACTATGAAATTGTTAGAACTACTCAAAAATGAACTCAAAAACTGGGTACAATGATATCTGATGTTTATCTACTGAAGGATAATAACAAAGAGCATCAAACAAATCTGAAAAAAGTTCGAGCTGCCCAATGCTTATGAAGTACCAGACAAAACTTACTTGATAGGAAAATCAACTAAGGTATCCAACTTGTCTCTCATGTATCGACTGTAAGAAAATCGCTTGAGATGTACCACAAGTACTGGAGGGAGAGACCATAAATCCAATTTCTTTGTGGCTTGCTGATGTTCTTTACAATTTGGACAATACCTAAAAATAAAAAAAAAAATATATATTTAAAGCTTGATAGAGGTACAAATGACTTCCATTAATGAAAATAACAGACAAAAAGCCCCACACCATGTCTGGGAAGCTCTACATTTATCAGTGAAAATTCTTATATGCCTAATAAGGACCAGGCTAAAAGCAACTCCTCTTGTTAATCTTTAGCACATTTTCCAAATAGGTTTAACCATTATAAATTAATGTGCAAATAAATATTCAAAGAAATGATTGTTTACATTTTAATATGCTAAAAAGTCATGGGTCAAAAATCTGTGCTAAAAGATAGTTATTAGAAGATCTCAAAACTTCTAGGCTCTAATGGAATAACAGCACAAAATAAAGCACTATAATTTCCCATGTTTCTTTCAAGATGGCTGTACAGCTGAAAAATTTTGGGAAAAAGTAACTGAAGTTAATAACCAATAGCAAAATAGCTATTATGGAAAATATAGTAATGAGATTAAAACTGAGCACTGTAATAACTCTTTTAAATGGACTATATTATATAAAGAATGCTGATTGTTATTTAAAATATCAAAGATAATTTAGTAATTAATTTTTCAACCTGACATAGCACACATACCTCAGAATAAATCCTCAAAATAATTAGAAACAATTATTTAACTTTGTTTCTTACCAGGGATCTTCAGCACCTAGCTTTTCTTTTGTTGTAAAAAGCTCAATGCAATCTTTTAATTTCACGAAGGGTTTTTTAGGAGGTTTATATTCCACACTTTCATGTTTTTCAAAATCCTAAAGAGAAGTATTTCTTGAGTTAAGAGAACAAATGAAATAAAACTCATTTTAGTGATACCATCTTACTATGAATAATAATGAAAACTCCTAAACTTTCTCAAAAGAATAATAAAGTTTATTTCAGATGACATTTATAGCTTTTGCTTCTAAATAACTCCTGTATGAACCTATATGGATGACATGTAAACATAAAACATGTTCAAAACCAACGATGAACCTTTTTTAAAATAAGGTATTTTTGCAAAGACCTTCTTTTCTAGTTCATGACTAATTTTTTTTACTGGCAAAATAAACATTTGTTAGGAGCAAAGGATGTAACAAAAATATGATTGACTCTGGTAATAAAGTAAAGAAGGAAAGACAAAGGAGTGAGTGGTGACTTACCTCAGCAGCATTTTCATCAAAGTATCTTTTTTTCAATTCAGGATCCCAATCCAAAGCAAGAAAAGATCTTTCTAAGATGGAAAACATTGTTTTTCTTTAAAATTTAATATGCCTTCAGGTTAAAATTACTATATTTCAATGTTAGGATATATACCAGAATCAGAATAAACACAGAGCAATCTTTTCCACTTGCACTAGGTGATGAGGACTAATAGCTGTTTTCTGCTATTTAAATAATGTGAATTTTTACAAAAGATATAAAATTTAAGCAAAAGTTCAACATCCATTTAATAAACATTGATATCCACCTTAGTCTACTTACATATTAAGGCATTTCATTTAAGATTTGAAATAGAAAAGTAACTATCATTTTCAATGATAGGGCTGAATATCAGATAGTTTGCACCTAAAAAAATAACATGTTCCATTCATTGAGTGTTAAAACCATTTTACACAAATACTTACCATCTAGCCTAAGCTGCCTGTCATCAAATCTTATATGCCTGGTATCATCTTTGATGTAGTTGATATCAGTATTGCCTAAGTTGTTGAACTGGAATGTAAACAGTCGCTTTTTGTGTCCCGTGAGTTGACCTTTGCAAGTTTCCTCAGTACATAATCCATTTTCAGAATCATTATCTCCTCCAACTGAATCTTCAGACTGACTATTCTCATTCTCTGAGGGGAGTTCTTGATCCTGGCTGGATTCATCATCTGGCTCATCTGTTTCCATTTCACCTAGTTTTAGATATTAGAGATATTTAAATAAATCCAATGTTACATTTTTTATAATTTTCCTTAGGTTTACAAAAGTTTTAGTTTTTTAATCCCCATCTTCTTAAGTTTTTCTCTGAGCAATAACCTAAGTGAAATTTTTTACAATTTAAAAACAAAGTCTTACTTGGTGAACCTTCCTCATGTATGCCATTTGGGCCATTCCCATTAATATTCTGGTCCTTACAGCAGTGTGGGGGTCCCTCAGTGTCTTCAGTGTCAGTAGATATTTTGACATATCGGCTTAAATAAAATGAGAAATCAAATAAGTTCAGTTCTACACAGGTAAAAACAAAGTATTCCATTCCATCAGTAAAATAAAACCTTCTTCATGCAGTAATAGTGGCCGTCCAGTAGATTCAAGCATAAGCTCATACTTAAGATACAGCCTAGAAGTGCAACTAGGAATTTGTTTTGCTCTCCTTTATTTCCAACTATCCAGTGAATACAAATGTTTTGGTGACACAGATAGCTTGCATAATGCTTAAGCCAGAACTTTTAGTGTGCTCGTCACCAGAGTAGTGTTCACTGTACCTGACAGCTAAGTTTTTATCCATCACCCTCCTCCCAACCTCCCTACTCCTTGGTCTCCAACATCCTTTATATGTCTTTATGCCCATTGTTTAGCTCTTTTTTTTTTACAGTTTTGGCTGGGCCTGGGCTCTAACCCACCACCTCCAGTATATGGAGCCAGTGTCCTACTCCTTGAGCCACAGGTGTTAGCTCTTATTAGTGAGAATGTGTAGTGTCTGTTTTTCCATTCTTTTTTTTTGAGACAGAGCCTCAAGCTATCCCCCTGGGTAGAGTGCTGTGGCACCACAGCTCACAACTCCTGGGCTCAAGTGAGTCTCCTGCATCCGCCTCCCAAGTAGCTGGGACCACAGGTGCCTGCCACAACGCCTGGCTATTTTTTGGTTGCAGCCGTCATTGTTGTTTGGCGGGTCCGGGCTGGATTCGAACCCGCCACCTTAGGTGTATGTGGCTGGCGCCTTAGCTGCTTGAGCCACAGGAGCCGAGCCAGTTTTTCCATTCTTGAGATATTTCTCTTAGGATAATGATTTCCATTTTCATCCAAGGTGTGGCAACAGACATTATTTCTTTTTATGGTTGAGTGGTACTCCACAGTATATATACAGCACATTTTCCTTATCAAATCATGGACTGAAGGACACTTACGTTGTTTCCAAATATTTGCAACTGTGAATTGTTTTGCTTGTCTTTATAAACATAATTAGTTACTTTTAGGGTTTATATCTTTCTTCTCTATGTTAAAAATTTGTGGCAAATAATTTCTCAACTTGAAAAGTTTATAAAAAAATCATTTAGATGATATATATTACTGCTAAGAACACTTTTATTTGTATAATGCGATCTTTACGAATGGGTTATAGAATTATAATAATTAGGTATGTAAGAAAGAATACTAAATATGTCAGCTATAAACGATAAAAGAAAAGGATTAAATAGTATTGCTGATTACCTTATAATTCAAACCACGGTTTAAAGGAAGGCAAAAAATGGGTTGCCTTACAATGTGATCAATCATGAACTAGTAGTGTAAAGAAATGAGGCATTTGCATTGTTAAGATTTCAGAGTACATATGTATTTTAATTATTGAGAAATTCTTATTCCTTCCAAACTTTAGGTATAAAATAGTTAAAGACTTCATGCTTCCTGGGTTTGAAATTACCATTGTGTGTTTTTACATGAATAAGAAAGTCGATTAGATCTAATTTTTAAAATGGCTGTTTAAGCAAAGATGAGATAATACAGTTGTCCACCAAAATATACCACTACCTTGCATGTTTGCTTTTATGAGCACTTTTATGTTTTATTCCCATATTCACTTTGTCCAAGTAGAACTGTCTGGCACTTACCACATCCTCAAAAGCAGGAGATTATAAAGCTTATCTTCAGTATTGTTTCGTGGTACAGCCATAAGAAAAGGCTGCCCAAAAAGTGAAGAACCTGTATGGTGGGTGTAACTTGAGTGTCTAAATTTTTCTCTTAGGCAAACAGGAATAATCACATGCTCTGTATCTTCCGTCCTATTGATGTTAATTTCAAACCTACAAGGATAAAACTGATCATGAATTTTCACAATAATTTTATCTTATTTCTTTTAACTATTTTCTCAAGTGGTATTTTACACAATGAATTGTATACTTACACATAAATGTCATCTCGTTCCATAATACTGCTAAGGTTTTCATCCATGGCGAATATTCTGTGAAATCTGTGATTGTATATATCAGTAACTATCATCTAAAAGGAAATAAATTTCTATTAAGCTGGTTTTAGAACACTGGAAAACTCAACATCAGTCTATACAGTCCAGCCCCAAACAACTCACCTTATCTGCAGGAACGCCAGACAAGGCAGACAGTGCAGCACACAGATCTAGTATGTTTCCAATTTTGGGGACAACCACTTTGTACTAAAAAAGAAAAAAAAAACTTTAATAAGTTTATTGGAAAAAATATTCAGTAGTGAGAATGACCTTGTGGTTGCTTCCTACATTCACCTGGCATTTGGCCCCCAGTGTTTGTCTCCAACCTTGCCATCATCCTGGCTGACCATGTCCACATGTGGATGATTTAGTCTAGCCTTACTGTCACTTGGCTCCTCAGTTCAAAGATCTACATCGACTTCTAGACCAGGAGGACCTTCTTCTTTCTGGAAATTCATTCTTATCTATTTTTGCTTGCACTGAGATTTTAGTCTCTCTCTCTTTCCAGCTCCCTACTATCTCCTTGCCCTTTTATGCAAGCTCACCCAGAATTTTCCACTGTTAGAGAACAGTGTGCGACAAATTTACAGCACCCAGTCTCACTCAACTGACCCGTCAACACATTTGCTTATTCTGTGTGTGTCAACACATTTGCTTATTCTCACATGTCTATCAGACATATTTAAAAATCTCTATCTAAAAGGTTTCCTGTTTTACTACTTCTCCCTTTCTATCAGCAGAATGCCCACTTTACTAAGAAAGCAGAAACTATTTGGTGGAAAAATCTCCAACTTCCTACACCCCTACAATCTTTTTTGAAACCATACAGATTCTTTTCTCTCCTTTAAAACACATGAAAAGACAGGTGTTTCTCTTCCCAACCAAGGCTAATCCTACAATCTGTGTTCTGAATCCTATCTCATTCTGCCTTCTCTGGTGTCTAAACCCAGCTATTCTTTCTTCTATTTTATCTCAACTGTTTTGCATAAGCATCAGACTATCTACAGGTCTCTCAAAAAACAAAACAAAATAGTCTCTCACTGCTCTAGTAATTCCCCTCTACCTATCCCCACCCCCCCCAGGCTTCAAAATAACTTGGTTAACAGTTAGCTATTCTACCATAACTTCCTCACCTCCCATTGACTTCTCAACCTACCTCCTAGCTTTTGTCTTCAACTCTTTAAATTTAACCTGTTTCCAAGGTTACCGATACTGCTACACAACTCAATCTTTACCAGTCCGTATTTTGCTGGCTGCTCTGTAGCATGACTGCTGACCGCTCTCCCTTTTAAGATTTTCCTTTCCCTACACCACCACCACTTAATTCTCTTCTATTGCTGTGATCACACTCTCCTTGTAAAGCTCTTCTACAGCGTTTTCAGAGTTTTGTCAGCCTTCTTGATCCTGGACGTTCTTAGAGCCATATCGCCTGATTTCCTCTGGCCAGTCCTGGATTATCAGCCTGCTATCCTTGTATAATTATTAACAACAGCCCCTTTTATTTTCTAAAGAGTTCTTTTAAGATGACAAATCACAGGCTCATCTGAGGCTTAAGTGATCTTATACTTGTAAAATAGGAACTACTGTCTTCATGGAGCTCACAGACTCTCTCCTCAGTGCATACTGGTGTCCCCACCTACATGCTTCTCACTGATGTGCACTTTAGGGTCAGCATGTCTGACACTCAACACAGGTTTGGGTCAGGCCACCACACTCAATCCACTCAGCACTAACATGGATTACTTCTCAAATCTGTTTTTCCTATGCATGATGTTAAAACAAAGAACACCACTACCTCTTCTGTTCTCCAGTCCAAGAAACTTCACATCATCTTTAAATAGACTTACACACCTCTATTTGTCACATTCAACCAGTTCTTCAAACAGCTCTCATGACGCTAATCTTAAGAGTTCAAGCCCTTGTCATTTCTCTGTCATCTCATCACTGTATCACCTGGGCCTTCCTTATCCAGTCTATGCACTAGTCTCGAGATTTAATACCCTTTAATGGTTCCCTTAATCTTTAGGGTGAGGTTCAAACTTCCTATCATGGCCTCAGAGTTGAGATCTAGCTGCTTACCATGTTAGCAACTTGTCGATTTGGAACTGGCCCACGTCCTTTCACCTTCAGCTCTTGGCACATGCCATTCCCTTAGCTTACTTCCAGTTTTTAACCTGCTTATTATAATCTAATCACCATCCAGGACTCAACAAAGGCATTACAGCCACACTGGGTAGGTTACTCTTCCTATTCATTCTGTGTTCTCCTGTGTTCTTTTCACACCAGATGACAAGCTTCTTGAGAACAACCACTAGAAACACCATTGTATTTCTAGCACCTTGCATGGTAGGAGAGGCCAACACATATTACATGTTCAATATGATTATTAATAAACGTCTATGTTTATTACTCTAACTTTGATGATGAAAGAACTCCTCAAACAGGCCGACTCAGCTCATTTCACTTTCCTTCCCTACTATTTAAAGTACAGTGTTAATGAGACTAACATTTTGTAATTGAGTTGTTAGTGCTTTTAAGTGGGAGGAAAAAACACAAACAACCCCATTTCACTGTTCTGACCATGGCTCTAACCTCCAGAAATCTTGGTTACCATGGGAAAAAAGTGGCAATAAAATTGAAAAATAATTTAAAGCCAGTTTACTGAACATTTAGTATTTACCTTATGGACTTCTGGGTATCCCCCAAAGCCCCCATACATAAGGAAAAGGGGAAATTGCAGTGAAAAGTACCAATAGTGCCAGTGGTACCATTAGTGCCCAATAAATATATATATTTTTTGAGACAGAGCCCTAAGCTGTCCCCCTGGGTAGAGTGCAGTGGCATCACAGCTCACAGCAACCTCCAGCTCCTGGGCTCAAGTGAGTCTCCTGCCTCAGCCTCCCAAGTAGTTGGGACCACAGGCACCCGCCACAACACCTGGCTATTTTTTTTTTTTGGTTGCAGCCATCATTTTGTTTGGCGGGACCAGGCTGGATTCAAACCTGCCACCTTAGGTGTATGTGGCTGGCGCCTTAGCCACCTGAGCCACAGGTACTGAGTCAAATATTTTAGTAAATAAAATTTTTGAATACTTCTCCATCATATATAGTTATACACACACACACACACACACATATAACCATCTATATAGAACAAAGGTTAGAAATGCAAAGATTTACAAGGTCTCCTATCTTCAAAGAACTCTTGGTCTAGGGAGAAAAGATTAAGTCTCTAGGTAAGTATAAAAATTTAGGGGAACAGAAGGTAGAAGCAGCAGCTGTATTTGCTGAGGTGGGTCAAGTGTCATAAAAGGACTAACTAATTTAAAAATAAGGAAGAAAGTATACTGTTTCACCCACAAATGTGAAATTATCCAATTAAGTATGCATTAGGCGATGGAATCAGGCAGACAATCAACACTAAGGCCCAGCACAGTGCTTTTGCACAGAATAAGCAATATGTGATACTTCAAAAAGTTACAGAACATTCCCTGAACCAAGTATTTTGGTTCATTAAATAGTTTAAGTTCTTAAAATGCCTAAACATGGCTGGGTGCGGGGGCTCACACCTGTAATCCCAGCACTCTTGGAGCCCAAGGTGGGTAGATTGCTTGAGCTCAGGACTCTGAGACCAGACTGAGCATGAGTGAGACCTCATCTCTACTAAAAATGGAAAAACTGAGGCAAAGAGTTGCATGAACCAAGGAGTTTGAGGTTGCTGAGAACTCTGATGCCACCGTCCTCTACTAAGGGCAACAAAGTGAAACTTTGTCTTAAAAAAGCAACGAAAAAAAGATGCCTAAACATTATGGGCATTTAAATATACTATTATTTTATCACATAAATTAAAATGTACAGTATTAATTTAGCTTCCAACAGCCACTAGAAAAAGAAATAATTAACATTAAAATTAGAATTAGAAAATTTCTTAAGTGTAGTTACTCTACAAAATCTCTTATACAAATAAATACCATCATTGAATTGCGTTTAAAGATTCAACACTAATTTTTATAATAGAGATTCAACACTAACTTTTTATAAAAATCATATAAGCTGGGGAAATAATCACTACTTACCTGCATAGGTTTAGCAAGTGGATCCATTCTAACTAAATAAACTTCCAAGGTTCGTTCTTTTTTCATGGGCAATGGAAGTGTCAAGTAACAGAAAGGATCAAATGTTACAGAAATCTTAGCACACTCAGGACAAACTAAAGTTGATTTGAAAAGGCCATGAAATATATCTACTATGATAGAATCATTTCGTTTTAAATGATTTTCCCAGGCTTCTTCCGCAACCACCTATAAGGATAATAAACACAAATTACCAAGAGGCTTTACAAAATCATAGCAATGGTGCCAATAATATCATTCAACTTACCTTATCTGGTCTCCCATCAGCATCTTTTAACTGTATGTATGGTTTCTTCCTAATTCTATTCAAATCCTCATGTAGTCCATCTAGCAGGAAAGCTAACAGCTCTTGACAGTCCTGCTGCTGATATCCAGAGAACTGAGGTGCAAAACGCCCTACTTGTGTCTGTAAGAAAAGTAAAAACTATAAAATCAGGATGAGGAGAAGCAGCACTGATTTTTTAAAAAGTGTACAGTTAATCTTTGTTGTTCATGGATTCCACAATTGTGGATATGTTCAGAGCAGTAAGAAAATTTGAGTCACCCCAAGGTATGTGTTCCAGCCTGTGTGGAACAAGGCTTTGCTCTGCCGCCCCGTTTCAGCTCTCCCGCTAACTATAGAACAAGTGTCCCTTTGCGGTTTATTTAGTGCTGAGGTGTTCACATTTTGTGCTTTGTTGTGGTAATTTCAGCATTTCAAACAGCCCTAAGCACAGTGCTGAAGTGTTAGGTGGTGCTCCCAGGCACAAGACGCTGCAATGTGCCTTACAGAAGAAAAAGATGTGTGGTGAAATGAGCTTCATTATGACATGAATTACGTGCTATTGGCCTTGAATTCAAAGTTAAGGACTTAATAATATAGTATATTTAGTAGGTGCCTTTAAACAGAAACACACATAAAACAAACTTATGCACTGAGTGGCTGATGAAAACGCTTGGAGGAATCAAAACCTATTATTTTCCCTCGGAGTGACAGCTCAGGATTTTTGCTACTTTTGTGTTTGTGGTAACTTGGGAACACTGCTGTGAATAACAAGAATTGACTTTACATAGAGACAACAGGAAATCTATGAGTTGTAGTTGTCTTGCACTCCCGATAAGCACTCAGCAAAGCTGATCTGTGACAAAATCCATCAACACATCTATTAGTCTTTGTCTGGTTTCAGATTTTGCTGTCATAATTGTTGTTTCACTATTTGTCATGGGATTTTCCAGATGTTAATTCTTAGGTCTGGGTCTTTCTGATGCCTCCTCCTGAAAATGTTTTGATAGGCAGACAGGATGAGTGAGACAGGTCCTCATCCTTGCTGTACTACCACACATAAACAATTACATTATCTAAAAGCATTTTTAAAATAATTACCCTACAAAATACAAAAGAAGTGTTCATTTGAGGAAAGAACAAGGAGAAAATAAGATAAAATTATGTACAAAGGATGGGAAACATGAAGACTTAAAATTCAGTGTTTTGACATTTTGCTCTAGAAATGTCACTAGAAAAAAATGACAAAACTCCTGGTGTTTGTGTGAGTACAAAGAGGAGGGTGCAGAGCAGTCACAGAAATATCTGTTCACAGTGACTTTCCTGGTCTTTGTGGTACTAAGTATTTTACTGATGAGCTGGAAAAGAAATGTAATTATATAAAAGAAAAAAAGTCAGATATCTAAAGCCTTTTTACACATAATTTTAAGAGAGAAAAATCTAAAAATGAAACTAATTAGAATGGGTTTGTCTGTCCTAGTTTGTCCAAAGTTTAGAATGTTAAAAAAGATAAATATAGGAGTATTTTGATTTGCTGTTTTAAAAATATTTTCTAAAAACATTGTTATATAGTTAACAAAATGCTGCCTAGTAGACATCTTTTATGAATGCCATTTAAATTACTTATATAAGTAATGGCTTAACTCTGCTTATACTCTTAAAAAGTGTAAAATTTCTCCTAAGTCTCACCTATGTACTTAAATTTTTTTAACAATATAAAGCTAAATTTCAGTTCAATTCTTATTTGAATAATAAACCAAGTTACTTAAGATACTGATTCTAAAAAATAATCAATTCATGAATATGAATAAAACTGAAGTCTAAGGATTATATTGAAAATACACTTAATATTTAGTGCTTGTTTTGTAGACTAGTTTTTCACCTCAATGATTTTTCAAACTTACAGTGATTCTCCAAATAAGTTCTTAAGAGTTAATGATATGCAGAAATTTACTCCTTTATTCATATAAAATACATTCTCATCAATTTTCCAAAGATGTACTGCACTCTAAAACAACCCATGAAAATGTTCACTGTTATGTCTTTAAAGTCATTCTTTTTTTTTGAGACAGAGCCTCAAGCTGTCCCCCTGGATAGAGTGCTGTGACATCACAGCTCAAAGCAACCTTCAACTCCTGGGCTCAAGCGAGTCTCCTGCCTCTGCCTCCCAAGTAGCTGGGACTACAGGTGCCCACCACAACGCCTGGCTATTTTTTGGTTGCAGCCATCATTGTTGTTTGGCGGGCCCAGGCAGGATTCGAACCTACCAGCTCAGGTGTATGTGGCTGGCGCCTTAGCCGCTTGAGCCACAGGCGCCGAGCCTAAAGTCATTCTTTACCTACTGTGTTTATTGCAAGCATACATGTCAAATATATTAACAGCAGAGTATAAATGTGTAAACACAACAATTCAGTAAGTGAGGTGAATGATATGTTGACCAGTTTGATGTGAACATTCTAGATTATATATAGAGTCAGCACACTGTACCCCATAAATGTAAAGTACACAGTTAAGATCTAATAAAAAAAGTCATTCTTGTACCACACCAGTGTTCTTCAATCTTTTTTTCATTTTTCCCTCCCTCCTACTCCCAGATTCTTCTTATACCTTTTAAAAAGAATTAATCAACTGCCCCATACTCTACCACGAAATTTTATACTATAGACATACTGTGTATCAATTTATGTATTATGTTTCTTTGGAGGGTTACAGACCATTGTAATAGCTACTATTTTTCATAACCCCTCCCAAGAACCAACTTTCACCTGCTTGGGGATGATACAGCCCATGTTGAGAATGCATTTACCACACTAACCTTAAAGGCTCTTGGGGTTACATAGCTGAACTTCCCAGACCACATTTGCTTGATTAGTTCAGCATAAGATTTAGCTATTTCACCTCTCATTCCTAAGGGATTGTCAAAATTCAGTTCTTCTTGGTACTTATCGTTGAGGAAATATTCAGTAAGTGGAGGTGTGTTGCTCAAACACTGCAAAGAACAAAATATATTTCCAAGTATAAGTAACCATATCTGCATTTTCCTTAAAAATATGTTAAAATAGAAAAATTTACTTGCCATATCATATAAAGAAAAATTTTAATGATGGTCTCTTGCACTAATAACTAACTGGTCAAAGAAAAACTCAACTATTCATTTCTCAAATTTCAATTCAATTACTTATAAAAAAATTCTAATATTTGTTGCTATAAAATCTGTCTTAATTTTAACCACAGCAAACTACTTGTTAACTAGGAGATAGGCTCAGAGTTTTCTTTACTTCTTTTACTTGATTGGTAGAAATTATGGATTGTCTACTCATCCCAGGCACCTGCAAATTAGCCTGAGTAGGTAAAAACTGAGATACAGTGCAAGGGAGAAATTAATTTAGTAGAAGCATTTACTGCTTCTATTGTCAATTCTTTTTTGGAAAGAGCAGCTTTTTAATCTCTCATTTGGTCAACCATTTTTAGAAGGAACAGTACAGACTGGCTGAGCCTGAGGAAACAAACTTTAGTTGTGTGAGCTCTAGGTAAGTGTGTTCTCACTTCTCCTATATCATAGTAATTCATTTTTCCTTTATGGCAGAATAAAAACTATGAGTAATTCTCCAACTCTTTCCCATTGTCAATTAAAGAATTCAGTATTTAAAATGAAACGATGACAGAAGTACAGTTTTTCCACTGTACTGAAATATTTTATTTCAAGATGGGGCAATTTTAAGTTAATAAAACCATGTGATTTGACCTCAACAGGACCCAATATTACTTTATCAATTAGGTGTCTAGACCATGCAATGGCTAAAACAGACATTCAGTCATCAGTAACACTTTTACTGCAGGAAGGTATTTGTCTTGGAGTCATGTGGCAAAGTGCTGTAAGAGAAGCCAGTTGATAGCATATAAAATAGTAGAAACACACTTTTGTCAGAGCCTGAATTTATATTAATGGAAATCAAAGTTTTTCAAAGCTTGCTTATAGGGTGGTGCCTGTAGCCCAAGGAGTAGGGTGCTGGCCCCATATACCGGAGGTGGTGAGTTTAAACCTGGCTCTGGCCAAAAACTGCAAAAAAAAAAAAAAAAAAAGCTTGCTTATACGTATTGCTATTAAGTTAGATAGGTTTAATAGCTATGAAAGGTTTAGCCTGCTGGATTTATACGAATACAATACAAACTGTAACTATATACCACATGTTTAGCTATAAAACTTCAAAATAAGCATATTCAACTTTTATTTTGATTTTTGAAATAAATTATAGGGCTCAATTTTGTGGTTTCAATGATAAATCAACTTATTTTTACTGAAACAATCATAATACATATCTAGGAATTTTCTACATAATAAAAATATTATTATCTAAGTTGTTAGTCAGGCCTCTACCTGAAGGAAAAATGGAGAATTTCTTATAATAACACAGAATTGGTTATTAGGTGATTTTTAGGAAATAAAAATAATATAAACAGTTAAAAATATTTGGGGTGGGCTATACAGACCTTTGGAGTAAAATAAATTATTGTTTTTACCAGACAAGACCAGTAAAAAAGTCTTGTTTATATGACCAAGAGAAAGGCTCTGGTGCAGGAGGCAGCTGAGAGAAAGGATACTCCCCTGTCTTTCTAACTTTTTTTATCTCTCAACATTTCTCACGATCTTATACTCCTTTTGAGTTTCATTTTCTCTTTTTATGTATTATATGTCCTTTAAATTATAAAACACAGCTTTGGAGGGAGGGCCAGGCAATCTAGAATACATCATGGCTGTACAGAGCATGTAAACGCTATCACTTAGCATCACTGATTTGGTGCAAATGGGATCAACAGTAAATAGTCAATTAGGGAATGGGGAGGTTAGAGAGGAATTTCCAAAAATTAACAATTAGTTTTCAATCCTTATATTTGACCAACTCAGGATTATGCTAAAACTTTAAGATTCTATTATTGTCAGTTAACACAATTATACAATTCATATAAGGAATCAAATTTGTGGCTTTCCCAAACATCTCGAAGAACCAAGTTGTACAAACATAAAAGACTATTGAACTTAAAAAAAAAATTACTGAACTTTATTAATAATTATTCACATGTGTCTTTATTTTGGTCAAAGCTTACAAGTATCACTGAACATTTTCTAGCTTTCCAAAGGCACCCAGCATGCTCTCCCTACAGTGTGCATCTAATCACATCTCTCCCTTGCCACAATCTTATAAAGGGGTTCCTTGCTTACAGACAGGAATCTCAAGTCCTTAGGATGGTCTGTCTTTTGCTTACCAATGTAGCGTCATCCTTTGCCAAAACCTTTACTTCATCTTGTTCTAGCCTTATTTAATTGTCATTCCATATATTCTCTCACTCTGTTGTATGTTTTCAATTTTAACTCTGTCTACTTAAAAAGGTACCGTTTGGCTTTACTAACTTCTATTAATTCATCAAAACTGAGGTATCCTGTTTGGCAAATCTCCCTAGATTCCCTTACACTGTTTTCTTCTGTACGTTTCCATAATGCTTACTTACTGCTCACTTTGATTATAGCACTTATTTTATAACATACTCACACTTTAATTCTTGGTTTGTTTGTCTTACCAAACACAGTGGCACCTCTCAGTGAGCATAAAAGATGACACACTTTGTATACATAGCTCTAGCACCGAGTACTACATGGCCTGGCACTGAGCATGTGCACAATAGATGCACGCTTACTAAACAGGTTTTTGCATATATTTACTCAAGTGTTTATCCTCTGGTTTTTTACTTTTTTTTTTTTCAATGTTTAGCGTGTGCTCCATAGAATGAAATATTACTAAATTAGGAAAAATATATTTGATTGTAACAAATTAATTTCCAAAGTACCGAGAACTTCTACCTAAATATGAAACCAAAAGGACACTACCCATTAAGAAATGCTCTGCCCTTCTGACTGACTTCTCATTCTGTCCAGTATCTGCTCTGTAGTGATCCACTGCTTTGATTTTTAAAAACTCCAAGAAACTGAGACTTATTATCACAGCATCACGTGCTGGTTTGAGAAGATTACAATTCAATATTAACCAACTAAATAAAAACAAAATACAAATAGTTTCAATAATAAGTAACTGCCCATTATCATTTATGAATACATAATAACTTATATTTAAATTTAAGTTTTAGCCTTAAATGGGCCCTAACAGGCACTCTATTTGTTGAACATGTTTTAAGAAACTCACTAGCTACACTTTTCTAATAATTTACACAAACACAAATAAATACAGAAATTCAATAGCCAGTCTAACTGTTCTACTAATACATAAATCATAATAATTTAAAAACTCAAGTGATGTCAGATGTTTCTTCTTTATCTTAAAAATATCATATATACTTTTCTCCCTCATCTTGAAAATACCATTATATTAGGGGTCAATATGTTCTTTTTTTTTTTCTGAGGCAGAATCTCAAGTTGTCACCCTCAGTAGAGTGCCATGGCGTCACAGCTCATAGCAACCTCAAACTCTTGGGCTCAAGAGATTATCCTGCCTCAGGCTCCCAAGTAGCCAGGACCACAGGTGCCTGCCACAATACCCAGCCATTTTTTGGTTATAGTTGTCATTGCTGTTTGGCAGGCCTGGGCCAGATTAGAACCTGCCAGCTCCAGTGTATGTGGCTGGCACCCTTATCTGCTGAGCCATAGGCGCTGAGCCAGGAGTCAGTATATTCTTAGTATAAAGACAAGTTCAAAATATTAAAGGTTCTCTTATGATTTTTGGTATAAATATAATTGGAATAAAGGTCAAACAACTAAAATATTTTCATGCTCCAGGTGATGTGTTAGTATGTAATGCCATCATTTGGTAGAAAAAAGAAGATAGTTTCTTAAAGTTGGTTATAACATAGTTTGAGCCAGCCACAGTGGCTTACACTTGTAATCCTGAGGCGGGAGAACTGCTTGAGTTTAGGAGTCGAGACTTGTCTGAGTGAAAGTGAGACCCCAACTCATTAAAAAAATTAAAAACCCAGCTGGGTGCTGCAGCGAGTGCCTGTAATTCCAGCAGCTTCCAAGGCTGAGGCAGCAGGATGCCTACAGCCTGAGTCTGAGGTTGCAGTGAGCTATGATGCCCTTGCACTCTGCTCAGGGAATAGGGTGGGACTCTGTCTCAACAACAACAAACAAACAAACAAACAAACAAAAAAACCCAAGGAAATATAAAGAAAAAAATGTAGTTTGATTTGAAATTACTTTATGGAATTGATTATTTGACTTTTCACAACGGGGTACCTTATAAACATGAATATCTTTGGCAATTCTAAGAAAATTTGATGCTTCGGCTGGCTGCCATTAAACTCGACATGTAATGACAATTTTCTTAATTTCAATAATAGAAATAATAACCAGGGTTCTGTAGTATCTATCTTAAACATTGTCCTATTATAAAAATGTCATTTTCCTATCAGCTGAGACTATCTCAAAGCAATTCCTTTCTTAAAAGACTTACGTATGTAGCCATAGAAAATTCCCTTTTTAGCCTTAAGACACTTTGCTGATATAATATGGACTAAAAATCATACAACGTATCTCTTACCTATGTGGAAACAGCTCTTATTCTCTATGCATCCTAGACTAAAATAGAACAAAACTCACCCTTTCTTAACATACATGGCTGTTCTTAGCAAAAACAGAATATACACGAACATATATGAAAAACAGAAGGGATTGTATAACAGTAAGTATGTCACTTCTGTGGCTACTTACAAGTTTGGTGACCATCTACCAGTCTCATGCTGTTTGCAGTTATGTCTGTTAATTTACTGGAGTTCAACCACCCAACAGTGACAATGTCAAAGCCTCGGTGTTTTAGGAGGACTTAGAATTTATCACCAATAACCTGGGGTCCAAATGTGATGCAATGTGATTGATCACAAAAACACAGATCTTAAACCACATTTTTGTTTATATCATAATTATAGTATCTAGAGTTGGTCCTAAAACTGGGTAAGACTTTGTAAATATCATGTTAAAAATAAAGCAATAATCAGACTAACATAAAGATTCTGTAGTAATATTTCTAAATTTTAATGTAAAAGAAACAAGGAAAAAAATTTACAGCAATAAACAGATAAATGTACTGGTTAACTATGTGAAATATTTTTACATTTAAGTTTTTCATGACCCTTATGCAAGTTTAACAGTGCACAAAATTGATAAGAGCACTTGAAGACTGATGGACTAAAAAACTAAACTTTATATTTAGTATATGGCAGACTTTTGGCATTCACTGATTTAACCTTAATGATATGACTGGTTGGGAAAGTTCAGGATATAAGCTATTATGAAAAGCTGTTGATCCATGAGGAATGGTAAGAACGGCTGGCGTGTGTGCAAGCCAATCCTTTAGTGAGCAGAAGTGACCAAGTATCTATCTGTTCCTCAAAGTAGTCTGTGGTTCTCTATTTGTCCTTGCAAATGAATTTTATATGGGAAACTGCAAGGAATGAGAGTATTCTTGAATTTGAATTAGGAGTGATAAGAAATATTCCTTACTTATTGTATTAAGATTGAAACTCTGCATATATTCCACCCCTTCTTAGGATATTCTTCCCCTCAAACAAATTCCTACTTATTCGTTAACAATTTAGCATTTCTTTCTAAATGTTACATCTTCCTCACTACACCTCAAGGAAAAACTAAGATTCCTTCCTCTGGATTGATGCCAAACCTTAAACTCCCTCCCACCACACGTGAGAGCAGAGTGCATGTCTTACTGTCTTTGCTCTGGGATCTTGCACAGTGGCTGGCATGCAGCTCAGTAAAGGGATGCCGACTGAGGAAAACGCATACAGTAGCAGCCCTTCCAGAGATGGAGAGCAGTGGGAAAGCACTCGACTGAAAAGGAGATCGGAGCTGCACCCTGTTTATAACTAACCCATCCAAAAGTTCTCTAAGTTTAAAAATTAAAGTCCCAATAATGCCTAAAGAGGTTTTCCTAATGAATGAATGTAACCACTGTGAATGCCCCAACAACTATCAAGATAAATCCATAAGTGAAAGTGGAGGAAAAAAAATTTTTTTTAAGGAAAATTTTTACAAGGACTGTTTCCCCAAAATCTTCAATTTCGAACTGGATATAAAAATTCTAAAGAGAATTCTTCTAAATAATCCAATGTCTCATCTGATGGACATTCTGTGATGTGGGTCAATTATACAGATCTTAATCTACTGCTACCCTGAAGAACTATTTTCAGAAAGAATGTATAAACCATTCAAATATTTTATAAAGTAGTAATTCCTATGAAAAATTCTCTAGGTATAAACATCTTCCCTTTATCTAAACATCCTAAAACTTAAATATTATACGAAATATGATTTTCTTTCATAATTACTTGGAAAGATGCAATGCACTGTACATAACTTCCCTTTATATACACATGCACACATCCTATTGCTCTTACATTACTTTCAAAAAGTTCTTACACTAAGTAGCTTCTAATCAATAAAGCTCATGTTTCTAGAGTTCTTTGAAAAAATGTAAGTGATATAAAGTCTCAATTTTGTATTTTGTTATAAAGTTCTATATAGATTTTTTTAAAACTGATGATGTCAAATAAAGCACTATATAACCAAATCTCAAGTCTGTAATCAACATATTTTAAAAATGAATAATTAATAGCCATCCCAATAACTTGTAATGAATCTGGAATTTCCCCAGTACCTGGAAAATAGCCAAAGTAATCCCCTTCAAAAAGAGAAAGTTGTCTTTTGTAATGCTGAATATGAACCACTCCCTTTCTGTTCAGGCGCTCCAGAAGCCCAATTCTCAAGTGATCATGTATGCTCACTACTTTAGTAAACCGGTAACTAGAACAGGAAAGAAAACAAACTTAATTTTTGATTACCTAAAGCTTTTGAATTGTGTAACTCATTTTGTAACTGGTCAAAATGTAATGCCACTCACCACCCTTTAAAAAAATAGCTACACCTTCTAACTGACCAATACTAAAAATAAAAACCCAATCTAGAATAGGGGATTCATTTTTATTTTCTTATAATTTAAAAAATAAAATCTAAAGTGATCCATGGTTAAAGTCATCATAGAATACCCTCAAGTATTTTTTTCCTACATTTTAAGGTTAAATTTTCAAATTTGCCAGTCATTTGTTTTCTAATTTGTCATGATAAGAACAAAAGCATTTTGAAAAGGTACAATATTGTAAAATTCCAAAGCGTTCTATTAATACTGGGATATTGGCTCTACTTCTGTAATGACACAGTAGATGATACAGGACGGTCAGGAAACAACTACAAATACAGGCCCGCCTCTTTGTTATGTAGACTGAACAAATGAGATATTTTAAGCCACTTAATGCTTTTATTTTTGTTACATTTTTTCTAGAAAATGCAATCTTACTACATTTGAGAGATCAAGTCTATAGATCTTCACATATTCTGTGGAAGCAAATGCAACTACAGACCTGTCTGCTTTCCATTTTCATTCTTCCTCAAGCTTCTAAGAAAGAACAAATTGGCTGGGTCCTGTGGCCATGCCAGTAATCCTCACCCAGAGTGAGGTCAAAGCAGGAAGATGGTTTGAAGCCAGGAATTTAAGACCAGCCTGGGCAACACAGCAAGACCCTGTCTCTATAACAAGTTAAACAAATTAGCCAGGCATGGTGGCATGTGCTTGTACTCCCAACTACCTAGGGGGCTGAGGTGGGAGAATTGCTGGAGCCCAGAAGTCTGAGGTTGCAGTGAGTTATGATCATGTCTGGGCAACAGAGTGAGACTGTCTCCCAAAAGGACAAAAAAGGAACAAATATAGATAAGTACACTATAAACAAACATAACTTCCTTATTTACTTTTAAAAACTTTTACTATTTTTTTACCCCCCTCTCGACTAATTAAGAGAGAACACGAACACTCTACTTAAAAATAATGGAATTTTACATAATGTAAATGTAGTTTTAAAGGCAAGGTTTTTGAACTGGGTAAAGATGTTCTAACACTTTGATAAGTATCACTAATCTGGTCTCTATGCTGAAGGCATGACTAAAGTTAAATTTCACTTAAAATCCCTGCTCTTTCCTTCCAATTCTATGCTATTTCCTCTTCACATACCACTTCAACTCAGTGAAGAATTGTCATCAAAATTCTCGACATGTGAGACCTGATGGAAAATATTTTGTTGGCTAGGAAAAAAATGGCAACACATTTTTCCTCAACAGGACTGAGAAAGTTCTGAGAAGTCTAAGTGTGTCAGAAAGATACCCTGTTACCTGCATTGAGTAAATTCTGTAAGTAGAGTGTCAATCTTAAAAAAGCCATGATTATGTAAAGACCATTGATTTCACCTTGTAAGTAAAAAGAAACTGGATAGAAGAATAGAATCTTATGATATAGAAAACTGCAAAAGTCTGTGTGATAATGATCATTAGACTATCAATAGGCTATAGGCTTCAGGTAAGGTATTTTTAAGTAAGGTTTAAAAACTACCAGCCTATTATAGGAATGTCTGATTTTATTTTTTATTTGTTTAGGTATTCACTTTATGGGAAGCATGCTAAAACCAATGGTTCTAATAATATTAAGAAATGTTAGTGTAAGTTATATTTAAAGTACTCAAGCTTATGAATTTGATTTTAATTAAGTTATTTCATCTCCTACTCTATTAAGAATTTAAAACTAGCTAACTGTAAAACGAAAGTACATATTATCTTTTTGGGTGGGCAAAATACCTCAAGGATTTATGAATATATGAAAAAACAGTGGTTCTTTTCAATTTCTTTATGTTTAGTTCCTTGCATATAAAACTCAGTAAAGAAATAACTTTGAATAAATGAGTATCAAGAACTGTGTGGTTTGCTGACCTTTATTTCTGAAAATGCATACAGGGACGGAAGAAATTTTTGTAAAAAGTTTAACTTATTTATTACATAATTAAAGAGAAACGACCAGCCATATAATTCTCTGTATCATTTCATTATGCTAGACACATAACTAACAATAAACAAGAAGCTGAGTTGAAACAGAAATTTAAGCATCATGTCAAAGAATAAACTATGAAAGTGTCCGATTATTTACATAATCAAAAAACTTTAAATTTATCTAAATATTTAATCACTCAACAAATATTCAGTAAGAGAAGATCATTACTTTGAGAGCCTCTGTAAGTACATAAATAATGTTCTCAAGTGATTTTTTTCCTGTTACTCACTGTGAAATCATTCAAGGAACTACCTCCATTGGTGGACTGGTACGATGTGTCAAGCTGTGACTAACACAGCAGCCCACTCCAAGTGCATTCAAATCAGTTACATTTGCAGGACATAAGTTATAATACTTTTTGGGCCTTATATATATTATAGTTCTTTGATTCTTCAGTTGCAAATAAATATATATGATGTGGTATAATTCTTAAAAATTATTGTGCTCTTCTGGAGTTTAGATGGCTCTGGAAATGTCATTAATCTAGTGCAGCTCAAGTTCCAAGTGTTTTTGGAACTACATTTCCTAATGCAGTGATTCTCAAACTACCTGTGTGGAATAACTAATTTTTTTTTTTTTTTTGTCATTCCAATGGCTACAGATTGTGACAGAAGATAACATAAAAGGAACCACTAGAAAAATGAAACTGAAAACACAAAAAAAGTCCCATTTTTTATTATTAAAGTTACCCTAGCAAATTGTTAGAGTTTTTGATCACTGACACTTTTTGCACTTGTGAGAAGCCCTGTTCTAGTGTGCTCACGCTCACCTGGGTGAGGAAGCTCACGCGTATCTGTCCTCACAGTGATAACAGTACTTGAGCGTTTCTACTAAACGTTGGGGAGACAAAAGAAAACTAAAGACAACCTTGGCTTTATGATTTTCACCATCTATTACATAATTCTCCAGGAGAAATGGATAGAAAGGGGAAAGTGTGAGAAAGACAACTGTAACAGTAACAGTACACAAAAAGAGGTCTGAAAGACAGTGAATTCTAAGAATTAAAAGTAATTTTGGCTAAAGAGGCAATCCAGTTTCAATTTTATCTATTAGATAAATGGGAGATTCGTTTCATCCTATCACAGTCATATTTGTATAAATAATAGTTGATTTTTAAAACAGTAAATCTAGAAGTAGTACACTAAGTAGACTGAAAGAGGACAGACGATGGAACAGAGAGACATTTCAACAGTTTGCACGAAGGATGCTGAAATATTCAAATAACGGACTATCAGGAGAGGACAGGACAATTGTAAGTGATAGTAAGAAGCAGTATAAACAGGACCGGGGACGTGTTTTTTGACTTGGGTTATTAGACGGATGATTGTACCTACAAGGAAATATGAGAAACAAGACAAGCAAGCTTAGTCTTAGTTTGAGCTACATGCAGTCTATCTTGGCAGGAACATCCACTTAACAGTTACATACTGGAGGGAGAGTCAGAAAGCAGAATTATGCTTACGACAAGCTGGGATTTGTCAGTATGCAGCTCACTGTCAGAATCTCCAAGGTGAAGGAGTTAGACAAACCTAGCAAGCAGGAAGCCAAAGTGACCCCATCAAAGCCATGTCTGCAGGGCGGCATGATGGTCACAGTGATAACAGTACTTGAACTTACGTACTGTCACTATGCGCTAAGCACCTCTTAAGCACTTTATCTTCATTTTCCAGGTGAAGAAACTAAGAAGTTTTTATCTAGGGTCACACAACTTCTAAGAAGAACTAGGATTTGAATCCTGGTAGTGCAGCTCCCAAATTTATGCTTCTCCCCACCATGCAATGTAACTGACAGACTGCAGTGAGATAAGGACTGAATGGGAGATAAGAAACTAGGGAGAAAGCACAGACCCTCCTTTTCAAGGTCATGGGTCCCTCTTACTCTACTGCCCCTTTACAATACTTGACTAGGCATCTGTGCTGAAAGGAAGACGGTGCAGAGGTGAGGTTACAGTACAGAAAAGAAGAAATGACGTAACCAGCCTCAGGGAGGGGGATACAGGTTATAGGAAGACAGGAGCATCATCATAATGACAGACACATTTTCGGTATGGCATTTGAAGAGACTACTGCTAAGTATATGAGGAATTTCAAAGTATGTTTTATTATACCAGTGGTTCTCAACCTTCCTAATGCCACGACCCTTTAATACATACAGTTCCTGTAGGTTGTGACCCACAGATTGAGAACCACTGTATTATACTATTAAAGATTTCTTTATAAACCAGCAACATTTTTGTCACAAATTTGCTTCATTTTGAAAACATTATTGAAAGCCTTCTGACAAAGTATGTAACACAGTACTTAGAAAAGTCTTAGAAATTATTCATAATTCTACACAGCATTATCTATATACCACATCCAGCTTGTAACAGAGGCAGTAAAAATAAGCATTATATATCACTCAAAATATTTCAGAACTGGCACACATGTGACAAAGCACTAACAGCATACAGAAGATTCTACTATGTGTTTATTGAGCGTATGAACAATTTTTTTGCTATGGCAAAATAATTTCTGATACAGGGGTTTCTGTGGTGGAAAATATAGGAACAAGCATGAGCTATAAAGTTACAGTTTGTACCTCTGATAACTATTTTACAATCAGATGAATAAAGCATGTCATATACTTTACTAAAGGAATTCAAAACCAAACTCAATGTCACTTTCTTGGTGAAGCCTTACTTATTTCCCAATGACTCTTTTTTCTTTGACTCAATGATATTTTGATGATAGTCCTTTCCATTGCATCACTTTTTTAAGAGAATGGGCCACATTACCTCACTGTAACCTTGAAGTCCTGGACTCAAGTGACCCCCCTGCTTTAGCCTCCCAGGTAGCTAAGATTATAGACATATCCCACCATGTCTGGCGAAATT